CCGGATCCGAGTCTTGGAGGCCGTGGAAGCGGGGGGGCTGTGGGAGCTGGGGGGCCCGTGGATTCTGGGTGGGGATGGAGACCGCAGATGCTCGCAACGATGTTAGCCACCCGCGAGGATGAGGACGCCGCTCTTCGCGCCGAGCGCCCGCCCGACAAGATGCCAGACCTTCCTCACTGCCTCGCCAGCGACCTTCGCGTGCCGAAAACGTTCAAGGAGGCCATGCGGTTTCAGCATTCAGAGTTGTGGGATGATGCAGTCGATCGAGAGTTTTTCGGTTTATTGGATGCAGGAACTTTTAGTCCGGTGTAGCAGCCAGTAGAGAACGCCATCAATGCTAAGTGGGTTATTAAATGTAAGGCAGACGAGTACGGATGGCCGACGAAATTCAAGGCAAGACTTGTAGCGCAGGGGGACATGCATAGGGCTTCAATTGATTTTGGAGAATTGTTTGCACCCACCGTATCAGTGTCCAGTGTGCGCTCGTTGGCAGCATTAGCATGCGAGCAGAATCTTGACTTGTGCCATTTCGATATTCAGCAGGCTTTTGTGCAGTCTGAGCTTGATGAGGATGTTTTCATGCGCTTACCGCAGGGGTGTGGTAGGTTATCTGGCCTGATCGTGAAGCTATGCAAGAGTCTGTATGGTTTGAAGCAGGCATCACGACATTGGCATGCGCACCTGACGAGGTGTTTGTTACTTTTAGTTCTTTTTGCAGTGTCTGTCGGATGCATGTGTTTTTCGATTGATGGAGGANGCAGGCATCACGACATTGGCATTCGCACCTGACGAGGTGTTTGTTACTTTTAGGTTTTTTGCAGTGTCTGGCAGATGCGTGTGTTTTTCGATTGATGGAGGAGGGACGTGTGATCATGATCATCGTGGTCCACGTGGATGACATTTTTGCTGTAGGGCAGAAGGAGAGGTGTGACAAGTTTGGCGAGGACCTCAACGAGATGGTCCCCGTGAAAAACCTTGGAGAGTTGAGGTGGTACTCTGCGTGCTTTTACGAGAGAGACGTAGAGAGAGGGCTGTTGAAGATTTCGCAGCAGAGTTATGCCGAAGAGCTGGCTGCAGAGTATGGCGTTGAGTGGGGGAAGAGTGTGCCNGCTGTAGGGCAGAAGGAGAGGTGTGACAAGTTTGGCGAGGACCTCAACGAGATGGTCCCCGTGAAAAACCTTGGAGAGTTGAGGTGGTACTCTGCGTGCTTTTACGAGAGAGACGTAGAGAGAGGGCTGTTGAGGATTTCGCAGCAGAGGTTTGCCGAAGAGTTGGCTGCAGAGTACGGAATTGAGTGGGGGAGGAGTGTGCCCTTGCCTGTGAGCGTGAAGCTCACCGACTTTGACGAGAACGAAGCGTGCGCTGATGTCCCTTTTCGCGAGTTGGTAGGATCTCTGATGTGGTTGGCCACTCAAACAAGGCCGGACATCGCGAACGCAGTACGAGCAGTAGCGCGGTATTGTGCATCTCCCAAGATGGTGCACTGGAAGGCAGCACTCGGTATTTTAGGATACGTACGCAGGACGAGTTGGATGAGTATTACATTTGAGACGGGCGTCGTGACGGGTATGAGCATGCAGGTGTTTGTGGATGCCGACTATGCAAGCAAGGCGGCAGACCGGAGGTCGGTGTCTGGGGGGCTAGTGATGTGTGGGGGGGTGTGTGTGACTTGGTTTTCACGAACGCAGAAATGCGTCACCCTTTCCACCACGGAAGCAGAGTATGTGGCAATTGCCGACGTCTTGAAGGAAGTGTTGTTCTTAAGGCAGGTGTGGCGTTTTATGTTG